GGAATTTTCCAGCACAGAAGGGGAACCCAAGCTCCAAGTCCCTCTTTACCCTGCATGTCATCTCTGATCTACATCTTCCTGACCGGTTCCTTCCCTCCTCCCCCTCCCTTTAACCAAGACTTACCAGCCAATGGCTTCAGCGGTGGAAACCAGCCAGTGAAGAAGAGTTTCTTGGTGTACCGTAATGACTGCAGCCTTCCCCGGAGCAGCTCAGACTCTGAGTCCAGCAGCAGTAGCAGTAGCAGTGCCGCCTCAGACCGGACCAGGTACCAGCCCTCCAGATCAAGGCCAGACTCGGGATTTCCTTCCAGGGCTCTCGGGCCTTTCTAGGTTTCCCTAGAAGTTGGAAGTGGGGTGGCTGCCATCTCAGTCTAGATTAAGATGGCTCAAACTCAAGGTTCTCTGCCAAATAAATAAATCAGTGTTACCATTAATGGAACAGAGAGAACCATCCTGGGTTAAGGTGACGATTAGAGTATGCACTCCTATCTGCCACTGCTCAGTCTAACCCACCTCAGTCAGGTCACCACCCTAGCCCCTGGGGGTCTTTGAATTTGAAATTCTCATATAGCCTCTGCTTTCCAAAAGTCTCAGACCTCGGGAGTTTAAAAGAGCAGAGGGCCCATACAATGTTGTTCCCATTCTTCCCCTCCTTTGAGCTGAGCCCCCATTGTTTTGTCCACAGCACAACGCCCTCAAAACAAGGCCGGGGCAAACCTTCCTTCTCTCGGGGAACTTTCCCAGAGGACAGCAGTGAGGATACCTCAGGCACTGAGAATGAGGCCTACTCCGTGGGCACTGGCCGCGGCGTGGGCCACAGCAGTAAGTTCCCTTGCCCAAGGCCAGGGATGCTGGGGACCCAGTGTCAGGGCCTCGCCAGCCCCCCAGCTGCTGATCCACCCCCTCTCTCCCATTCCTGCGAAGTGGTAAGGAAGAGTCTGGGCCGGGGAGCTGGTTGGCTGTCAGAGGATGAGGACTCCCCACTGGATGCTCTGGACCTCGTGTGGGCCAAATGCCGAGGGTATCCATCATACCCAGCTCTGGTACGCTTCCACTTCTCTTACCATGCCCCTTGCTTTCCAGTCCCAGAACACAGATTCATAGCAGACTTCTCCTACTCCCTGCTGAGCTGTGGGGCACAGTTTCTTGGCAAGGTAGACTGGTGGGCAGATACAGTTTGAGTACCACTTACAAGCTCCCACCCAGTTTCTCCCTCTCTCCCTTTTCCTTCTCTTTGGTCCTTGGGCTCTGAAATAATTTAACGCAGAAAGAATCCAAGAGTCAGCACTGTAGTTCTAGTTTCATGATAACCTTTCTGTCCTCACTTCAGTAGTTTTCAAGTTCTTGGGGAGGGCAAGCCTTGGGAGGAAGTGGACTGAACCAAACTAGGCTCTTACTAAACCCTCAGATCATTGATCCAAAGATGCCCCGAGAAGGTATGTTTCACCATGGGGTTCCCATCCCTGTGCCCCCACTGGAGGTGCTGAAACTTGGGGAGCAGATGACCCAGGAAGCCCGAGAGCATCTCTACCTCGTCCTCTTCTTTGACAACAAACGAACCTGGTAAGTAGCCACAGATGTAGCCCTGTGTGGTATGGGGGCAGACTGCCAAGAAACTCCAGCAACAGGCAGACTGGGCTATCATGAAAAAACAATCAGCCAGGGAGAGACTTAAAACAGGTTTTTGAGCAAAGGATTGTATTGGCCATCAGTCTGAGAGGCTGAGTGGGCAGTAGCGGACAAACAGCTGTAGCTAGAAACCAAAGGATCATCAGAGACTATGACAAATATAGAGGTGGCTCCCACCCAGACTCAGATGGCTTCTAGACTTAGTTTTCCCACTTCTGCATCCACGGTGAATGAGGATGAAGCAGGCATAAACATTCAGGCTCTGAATCCCTGTTCTGTCACATTTACACATGTGGTCTTTCTGTTAATTGTCTGCAGAGAGTATTCAATGTCAGTAAAGTCTGCCTGGAGCCTATGGCACAGAGTAGCTATTTCTGGGAGGTCAGGGCACCTCCTTTTTGTAGCCATAAATACCCTGTGATTACCCTCCCGCCGCCACCATGCAGTATAACTGTTAACTGGGCTCTTTCATCACTAGATCATGAACAGTCCTTTGAGGGCAGGGACCATCAGAGTCTGGCCAGAGTGGGTGCTTGGGTGGTGTGTTTGAGTGAATAGAGGAGGAAGGCTGGTGCTTGTTCTCCCTGAGATGATTTATTTGATCTTCACCTTGTCCTGTAGGCAGTGGCTGCCCAGGACCAAGCTGGTTCCTCTGGGTGTGAACCAGGACCTAGACAAGGAGAAGATGCTAGAGGGCCGTAAGTCCAACATCCGCAAGTCAGTACAGATCGCCTACCACAGGGCTCTGCAGCACCGCAGCAAGGTACAAGGCGAGCAAAGCAGTGATACCAGTGATAGTGATTGATACTGCCCAACACAGTTCAACCTACAGTGCCCTGTGACCTCTCTCCTCCCCTTTGCTCACTGTCCTGGAGTGGCACCGGCCTCTGCACTGACTCATTTCTGGTCTTGGGGCCAGTCTCAGGGGAAGCTGGGTGGGGGAGGTCCCTCCTGCCCTAAGTGCAGCTGGACTGTACAGAACACTCCAAGGGCCAATGGCAGTTCAGCGCAAGAAGAGGCGGAGGGCCCACAGGTCAGAAAAAGCTCCAGAGACCTTATGGCATTGGAGGGCGGGTGGTGGGCCAAAGTTTGGATGCTGCATAAAACAGGCCTTCCCACCACCTTCACCTGCTCATGCCAGGAGAATCCATACTGCCTAGAGGCCTGAGGCCCCTACCGGTGGTGAGGTGAGCGGGCATCTGTCCAGCCTGGAAGAGGGGCACTAGGTGACTCCCTCCCCTGCTGTTGTAAATATTGTAATTAATCGGAGAATTTAAATTATTCTCATTTGTAACTGCGTTTCCGGGTCGCGCCAGAGTCATTTGGTACTAAAAAAAAAAAAAAAAAAAGACTGGGGCCTGTCCCCATTTCCTTTCTCTTTCCCATAGATTCCCCCACCTTTCAAACTGGTTTGTATTTATTTCAAAGGAAGAAAATATATTGATTCTTAGAAAATAAACTGTCTAGAGTTCTTTGTTTTTGCCTCCTACCAGGGCAAAGGGATACAAAGGGAGGCTCTGTGCCCCAGGGATGACACATAATTGGCCCAAGTGGTTGCTGACTGCTGTGCATGCTACATTTATAAGACACAGCAAAGAGAGCTCCCACTGCCCATGCATGGAGTGAGTAGCAAGCCCTGTGCTAAGTACCTTTGGACACTAAGCTTTATGTAATCCTTGTAATAACTATACGGTAGTTTAATGATAAGCTGGTTATCTCCACAAAGATGCTGAGGTTTCAAAAAATTACCTTGCCTAAGTTCCTACAACTAGGAAGTTAGAGAGCTAGAATTGGAATCCAGTTCTGTTTGTAAAGCTGGCTCTTGAACCAGTATGTTGAACTGCCAGCGAAAGAGTCAACTGTCGATTTCCTTCTTGGGCCTCAGAGGCCTCAAGTCCTTTGCCAGTGGCATGGCCCAAATGCTTCAGCATCACTACAGCTGAGACCTTCCCCACTGCTTAATCGGAGACAGAGCAGAGATGGAGAGAGTTGCTTTTTGCTCACCCCCAACCTTGGCACTTTCTTTCCCAACTCCACCAACATTTATTGAAGGAATGCCTTCCAAGTGCTAGGTGCCTGTGGGTGGCATGCCTACAGATAGGAACAGTCACAGGAAGAGGGAGCGGCCCAGGCCTTGCAGCCACTGAGGACGGCACTGAGATAATGATGACATTGGTCTGATGTTGATTCCATGCTCACGGTGCACGCTGCTAGGTCTCTGCCTGGGACACTAGGGTCAGTCCGCTGCAGATGTTGCACTTCAAGAACTTACAGTCTGAGTCGGGCACAGTGGCTCATGCCTGTAATCCCAGCATTTCAGGAGGCCGAGGTGGGCAGATCACGAGGTCAGGATCAAGACCATCTTGGCCAACATGGTGAAACCCTCTCACTACTAAAACTACAAAAACTAGCTGGCATAGTAGCACGCACCTGTAATCCCAGCTACTCGGGAAACAGGCAGAATTGCTTGAACCCAGGAGGTGTAGGCTGCAGTGAGCCGAGATGCTACCATTGCACTTCAGCCTGGCGACAGAGCAAGACTCCATCTCAAAAAAAAAAAATTAACAGTCTGATAGTTCAGATACAGCAACCCCAGATCCCTATGCTGGAAAGTGAGAATGGCCCAGATTAAAGTTCGCGTCTCCTAGCTCCTTTTTCACGTCTTCCTCCAGAAGGAAAGACTAAATTAAACAATCCATCCTCCTGTTCCAGGCGGCTACCTCAGGGCCACACACTGGGACTTGGACTCAACCTGATGGGCTTCTGGGTCCAAGCCCAGACAAACCCTCTCGTCACAGGCCCCATTCCCAGGAGGGCATGAGCAGATGGGAGTATGGAAAGAATGCCCAGGAAGGGAAGCAGCAGCTGTGGCGGCAGGCGGGACAATCCGAGGGACGCCTCTGAAGTCCTTAGGTCTCAGAGGACGCCTAAAGGGCTTGAAGGGGGCGAGCTTTGCCGGCGGGCACTGAAGAATACTCCGGAGATACTTCCCGAGGGCTGTGGGGCCGGAGTTGTGTTCGCTCCGGTTCTTTGTGAAGACAGGATTTGAGGGAGGCGGCCCGAGGAGACCGAATGCCAGAAACTGGAGAGGCTCGGGGGAGAACGGCTTTCTGAGGATGGGCTAGGGAAGGACGTGGCTCTGAGGACGGACAGCCCTGAGGAACCGCGAGGCGCCGGGATGGAACTCGTTAGCGCCGCGAGTGCAGACAATCCCGGAGGAGGAAAGGCCAGTAGCGGGCAGGAAGCCCAGTCCGCGCCAATCGCGCGGGCACTTCGAAACGGCCCGCCCACCCCGATTTCTCATTGGCGTCTCCCACCTCCTCCGCGGATTGGCTACCTCTAGGTCAAATAAGCGGGGCTTGAGCCCTACTTCCGGTGGTGGCGAGGCGGCCCCTGGAGAACCCAGAAGAACACAGCTCTGAGCGCCTAGAGTCCCTGGGGGCGGGAGACGATGCGTCGGAAGGAGGGGGCGGGACCTGCACCTCAGGAAAGCCGGAGGATTGGGTCAGGAAGCCGGGCTTCCGTAACTCGCAAAGGGCGGGGCCTGCCGGAGGTGGAGGAATAAGTGAAATAGGGAAGGTTGTTGCAGACGACCCTGAGGGTGAGGCCTTAAGGGGCGTGGTCCTTGTCTGGGCGGGATTTTTGGGCGGGGACTAGGTCGGTTCTGAGTGGGCGGGGCCATTGGGGGCGGCGCCTACTGTGGAAATGCCGGCCCGTGGGATTCTGCCCCGGCGCTTGGGGCATCGTACTCTAGCCTCCGCCCCTGCAATGTGGGCCTCCATTCCGTGCCCTCGCTCTGAGCTGCGCCTGGACCTGGTTCTGCCTTCTGGACAGTCCTTCCGGTGAGTGACTGCACCTGGGAGATCCGTCCCCTGGGACTGGCTCCTGCCGCCTCAGCTCTACCCGGCATGGGATACAAAGGAATTTGGGGAGTGATGGAAGAAACCCCGGGGTATAAAAGAGGAAACAAGCAAGGGTGGCTAGCCTGTTACCTTTAATATGTCTGTGCAGTGATATTTTAAGGATCAAGCGGTATAACTGATGTAGAAGATAATGGCACTTTTTCTTTTTTTGAGACAGGGTCTCACTCTATCGCAGAAGCTGGAGTGCAGAGAGGCTCATTGCAGCCTCGAGCCCCTTGGGCCCAGCCTCCCCAGTAGCTGGGACTGCAGGTGTGTGCCATGTCCGGCTACATTTTTGTATTTTTTGTAGAGGTGAGGTTTCGCCATGTTGCCCAGACTGGAAGATAGCATTTTTACTTTGCGGTTAGTACATCAGTTTTGTACCTGGAGCGATTGTAGGATGGGAGGGACCCGAAAGGGTGCAAGAAAGGAAATTGAATACCAGGGCTGTTGTGTGCCTGGGGCTCAGGTGGAGGGAGCAAAGCCCTGCACACTGGAGTGGTGTACTAGCGGATCAAGTATGGACACTAACTCAGACTGAGGAGCAGCTCCACTGCACCGTGTATCGAGGAGACCAGAGCCGGGCTGGCAGGCCCACACCAGATGAGCTGGAGGCCGTATGCAAGTACTTCCAGTTAGATGTCACCCTGGCTCAACTGTATCACCACTGGGGTTCTGTGGACTCCCACTTCCAAGAGGTGGCTCAGAAATTCCAAGGTAAGTACAGGACCTGGGCTGAGGTTAGGGTTCTTGGACATAAGTTACTTCTCTATGACTCAGTTTTACCATCTGTAAAGTGGGGATTTTGTCTGCTTCATAGGCTTTTATGAGGATTTAAGGAGCCAATACATATAAAGTGCTCAGAATAATGCCAGGCACATGGTAGTTAGTATTACCATTATTATTATCCTGCTATCACCACAGTGAAGTGACAAGGATTTTGAGCCCACTCCTGGTTGTGAGACCTAGGGCAAGTGACTTCATTCATGCTGTAAATATATACAAAGCATCTGCTGTGTGACTGGGTATACACCTATGAACAAAACGGACCCAAATGCCGGTCCTCATGGAGCTTACATTGTGGCCTCTTTATCTGTGGAATGGGATGGTAACCAGCCCTCACAAGATGCTGTGAGGAATGAGAGGTCTGGTGTTACTTTCTATAATAGTGCTGACCATCATTCTCCTGGGATCCCCCTGGAGCTTTGGTACCTAGGATCTTGCCTGTGGGTAGGAAGAGGCCACGCCCAACAGCAGGTATCTCTCTCTTACCCCCTGCATTTCGGGTCTCCAGGTGTGCGACTGCTGCGACAAGACCCCATCGAGTGCCTTTTCTCTTTTATCTGTTCCTCCAACAACAACATCGCCCGCATCACGGGTATGGTGGAGCGGCTGTGCCAGGCCTTTGGACCTCAGCTCATCCAGCTTGATGATGTCACCTACCATGGCTTCCCCAGCCTGCAGGCCCTGGCTGGTGAGTAGGTAGGTCCCCTGTCCCTAGGTCCTCCATCAGCTTTCAGGATCTGTTCGTTTCTCCCCTGGTTACTATCTCAAGGCTTCCTGAGTTGGTAAACATTTCCCAAACATTTCCCCCATCCACAACTGCCCTGCCTGGTCTGATCAGCCCCAGTTACTCATCCTCCCTATGCATCCCTAAAATGTCAGCACCTCACTGGTCTGTGCTTTTTGCCCAATGGGTTCAATGCCTCATAGAAATACATCTGTGCATGCATAGAAAAGCATGCATTCTGGGGACAGGCCCATGCCTGGTTCTGAATGCCAACTCTCACTTGGGCACATTATTTAGCATCTTTGTACTAAAGTTCCTTCATCTGTGAAATGGAATAATAATGGCACCTACCTTTGCTGTTATTGGAGTTGTCATGAATATTTTATGGAGACAAGTGTTTCAGTTGGCAGATGTGAGAACCAAACTAGGACAAGTACTTGGGAACTGCATGACAAAGAGACGGCCTACCTCAAAAAAGGAGAATGTTTTTGGTGCTTAGAAACCCATTTCTGGCCAGGCATGGTGGCTCATGCCTGTAATCCCTATATTTTGGCAGGTCGAGGCAGGCAGATCATCTAAGGTCACGAGTTCAAGACCGGCCTGGCCAACATGGTAAAACCCCATCTCTACTAAAAATACAAAAATTAGCTGGGCGTGGTGTAAGGTACCTGTAATCCCAGCTACATAGGAGGGTGAGGCAGTAGAATTGCTTGAACCTGGGAGCAGGAGGCTGCAGTGAACCAAGATCATGCCACTGCACTTCAGCCTGGGTGACAGAGCCAGACTCCATCTCAAACAAACAAACAAAAAGAAACCTATTCTTTTTTTTTTTTTTTTTTTTTGAGATGGAGTTTCACTCTTGTTACCCAGGCTGGAGTGCAATGGCGTGATCTCGGCTCACCGCAACCTCTGCCTCCTGGGTTCAAGCAATTCTCCAGCCTCAGCCTCCTGAGTATCTGGGATTACAGGCATGCGCCACCATGCCCAGCTAATTTTTTGTATTTTTAGTAGAGACGGGGTTTCACCATGTTGACCAGGATGGTCTCGATCTCTTGACCTCGTGATCCACCTCAGCCTCCCAAAGTGTTGGAATTACAAAAAGAAACCTATTCTTGAGTCTCAGCTCCTGGCTTAGTCAGTCATGAGACCTCAAGAAAGTCATTCACCTCTCCAGGCTTCTCTGAGCTTGTTCGTAGAATGGGAATAACAGTTTCAATCTAGAAGGGTTTGGGGGGGTGAATAAAGCAATCATGAGGCAGTGTAGTGTAATGGGTTAAGAACACTGGCATTAGCCAGGTGTGGTAGCTCATGCCTGTAGTTTCAGCACTTTGAGAGGCCATGGCAGGAGGATGGCTTGAGCCCAGGAGTTTGAGACCAGCCTGGGCAACATAATGAGACCTCTTCTCTATAAAAAATAAATAAAATTAGGCAGGCATGGTGGTACAAGCCTGTCATTTCAGCTACTCGGGAGGCTGAGGTGGGAGGATCGCTTGAACCTAGGAGGTCGAGGCTGCAGTGAACTGTGATCATGTCACTGCATTCCAGCCTGGGTGACAGAGCGAGACCCTGTCTCAGAAAGAAAAGAAAAAGCACAGATGTTGGTATCCCAGACCTAAGTGCAAGATCTTATCTCCACTCTGTCCTTTCTTAAGTAAGTTAGCCTCTTGTAAGCCCTCATTTTCTCCACCTGTAAAATGGGAAAATAGCAGTACTGTCCATGGGGTTCTTGGAAAACGTAAGCATGATAATGTATCTGAAGCGTGTTGCCAGTGCTTGATGCCCAGCACTTGATCATAGAAGCTGTTGCTAGATTGTGGTTATTTTTTTAGATCACAAGTGTGAACACTTTTTTGGAAAGGTTAAGGAACTCAGTTGGGGAGCTCCTCCAGGGCAGCAAGTCCTCAGTCCCTGGACTAGACCTGGGCTCCTAGTCCCTGGACTAGACCTGGACTAGACCTGGACTAGACCAGTGGCCAGTTCATAGTAGGTGCTTAGAAAACATTTGTAGAGGGACAGAACCCATGACTTATTTTCCCTTGCACATAAAAGTGTCCACTATCACATAGAGTGTGGGGAGGTGGGAGGAGTACCTGGGAAAAGCACTCCTGTGAGGTGGAGGGCTTACATACTAGCCCACGGACAGGAAGAACTTGAAGATGCCTGATGCCTGCTCTCCTCACTCCCCACAGGGCCAGATGTGGAGGCTCATCTCAGGAAGCTGGGCCTGGGCTACCGTGCCCGCTATGTGAGTGCCAGTGCCCGAGCCATCCTGGAAGAACAGGGTGGGCTAGCCTGGCTGCAGCAGCTACGAGAGGCCTCCTATGAGGAGGCCCACAAGGCCCTCTGCACCCTGCCTGGAGTGGGCACCAAGGTGAGGCCTCAGGGTAGGAGCTGCCCTTTCCACTGACACTGAGAAGAGAGCAGGAAATGAGCCAAGCCTGGGAGCTGGGTGGAGGCTTGCTTCCTGAGGTAGAGCAGGAAAGAGAAAGGATATAAGTAGATGTGTTTTTTTGTTTGTTTTTTTCTTTTTTTTTTTTTTTTTTTGAGACCGAGTTTCACTCTTGTTGCCCAGGCTGGAGTGCAATGATGCAATCTTGGCTCACTGCAACCACCACCTCCCAATTCAAGTGATTCTCCTGTCTCAGCCTCCAAAGTAGCTGGGATTAGAGGCATGCACCACCACACCCGGCTAATTTTGTATTTTTAGTTGAGACGGGGTTTCTCCATGTTAGTTAGGCTGGTCTCAAACTCCTGACCTCAGGCGATCCACCCACCTCAGCCTCCCAAAGTGCTAGGATTACAGGCGTGAGCCACCATGTCCAGCCAGTAGATGTTTTATGAGAGAAAAAAGCAGAGTGCAGAAAGAGGGAAAGGATATAGCCCTTTAAATGAATTTCTAGAAAGACCATTTCTTCAGATGTAACACATATATGGCTCTATATATAAGCAGAAATTTCCAGAAGGAAATTGCAGGAAACGAAATAGTAGATTCCTTTGGGGAGACAAATGGGAAGATATTTCTTCTTTTCAGGGTTTTTTTTTTCCTTTTTTTTTATAGAAACAGGCTCTTACAATGTTGCCTAGGCTGGTCTTAAAACTCTTGCCCTCAAGTAGTGTTCCTGCTTTGGCCTCCCAAAATGCTGGAATTACAGGCATGAACCACTGCTCCTGGCCACATTTTGTTCCTTTCATAAAATTACATGTATTGACAAAACTTTTTGTTTGATGTCAATAGGGTTAACTGGCAATAAAATGATTGGAAATTAGGCATTTGTCTTTTTTTTTTGAGAGAGTCTTGCTTTGTTGCCAGGTTAGATTCAGCTCACTGCAACCTCCCAGGTTCAAACAATTCTGCCTCAGCCTCCCAAGCAGCTGGGACTACAGGCACGCACCACCACATCCAGCTAATTTTTGTATTTTTAGTAGAGATGGGATTTCACCATGTTGGTCAGGATGGTCTTGATCTCCTGACCTCATGACCCACCCACCTCGGCCTCTCAGAGTGCTTGGATTACAGGCATGAGCCACCACACCAACCTTTTTTTTTCTCTTTACGCTTCTCTGCAGTTTAAGAAATTAATTTTTGCTTAAAGAATTTTTTTGATGGGCTCTAGACTACAGCCTAACATTAAATCTTAGTTCTGCCTATTCTCAGCCACGTGACTTTGGCCGGGTCACTTCACCTTTCAGAACCTCAGTTTTCTTGTCTGTAAAATGGGTGTGGTGATACCGTCTTCCCAGGTTATGATAAGAACCTGGCCCACATAGGTGTTCACCCAGTACCAGTTTTTTTTACAGCTATTTCAGTGTATTCATAGGCTGGGCATGGTGGCTCACGCCTGTAATCCCAGCATTTTGGGAAGGCGAGGTAGGTGGATCACTTGAGGTCAGGAGTTCGAGACCAGGTTGGCCAACATGGTGAAACCCCGTCTCTACTAAAAATACAAAAATTAGCCACATGTGATGGGAGGTTGAGGCAGGAGAATTGCTTGAACCTGGGAGGCAGAGGTTGCAGTGAGCCAAGATTGCACCAGTGCACTCCATCCTGGGCAACAGAGCAAGACTCCATCTCTAAAAACAAAGTGTATTCATAGATAGTATTTATTGATTGAGAATATAGAACAACAGTTACCCCAGAGTGAACAAGAAAGCAGCTGGCTTTGGGGCTATAAGCAAGATGGTGGCCAGATGCTGCCCTTCTTCCTCAAGGACTCATTCTGTGTCTGTCAAAGGTGGCTGACTGCATCTGCCTGATGGCCCTAGACAAGCCCCAGGCTGTGCCTGTGGATGTCCACATGTGGCAGATTGCCCAACGTGACTACAGCTGGCACCCTACCATGTCCCAGGCAAAGGGCCCAAGCCCCCAGACCAACAAGGAACTGGGTGAGGAGAGAAAGTGGGCTGTAGGGGCTGGCAGTGGGCTGGGATGGTTGAATCTTCTCTCTTAGTCACCTCTCCCTCAGACCCTACCTCTGTTGATGGGTCACAGAAGGGGTCAAATTAACAGCCTCATCACTTCTGATTTAGGAAACTTTTTCCGGAGCCTGTGGGGACCTTATGCTGGCTGGGCACAAGCAGTGAGTATACCTAGGTTTCCCATTCTCCAGCCGAGACCCCCATAGGACTTCTCCTCCAGCCCTAACCCAGTGGACTCTTCCACCACCACCACCCCAGGTGGCCCTAAAGGACTCTCCAGCCACCTGTCCCAACCCCAGTGGACTCTCATTGCCTTTGGCCCTGTTCCCCATGGACTCTTCCACATCCCAACACTGTCACTAGTCCCACCAGCCCCTACCGCAGTGTACCCTCCTCCCCACCCAGACTCCACCCTCCTACAGGTGCTATTCAGTGCTGACCTGCGTCAATCCCGCCGTGCTCAGGAGGCACCAGCAAAGCGCAGAAAGGGTTCCAAAGGGCCGGAAGACTAGATGGGGCGCCCTGGACAAAGGAATTCCCCAAGCACCTTCCTCTCCATTCCCCACTTCTGTCTCCCCATCCCTACCCAGTCTCATGTTGGGGAGGGGCCTCCCTGCAACTACCTCAAGGGCCAGGTACCCCCAAATCAAGCAGTTTGCACAACAAGGTTGGGTGGGGGCTATTTGGGGAAACAAAGCCAACAATGGTTTTATCTTCTTCCCTTTATTACAAGAAGGAACAATAAAATAGAAACATTTGTATGGAAAATGCAGTGAGGAATGCTGGGGAAGTGGGTGAGGAGGGGACAGGGCAGGGAAACTCCCAGTTTAGGGAGGGAAGGGGAGCAGGCTGCCCTCAAGCCCTCTCACGTAGGGAATCCTGACCCGTAGGGGATCCTGACCCGAGGTCCAGGGCCCTAGAGCTGGCGGGGCAGTGTGGGGGACAGTTCTGGGCCTGGCTCTATGTAGCAGTCTCGACAGCAGCAGCCAGCTGCCGGCCCTGCAGGGGAAGAGAGAACAGAGCTGGCCACAGGGGCAGGCCCTCCCCTCCAGCCCAGGTGCCTCTTCATGAACTACCCATGCTCTTCTGCAGAGCCTGCTGCTCACCCCCAGCCGCTGGTGTTAGCAGCTCCCCGTGGCTTGCCGTCTGCCCCTGCCCCTCCTGGCTGGTGCCCAGCTGCAGCTTCCTCATGTGTCGCACCACAGCTGTGGCATTGAAGGCTTGCTGTAGGCAGAGGGAAGAAGGGACTTTTGAGAGAGTCAAAAGTCATGGGGCAAGGGCGCAGTGGGATTCTTGCAATTGTTCTGTTATTTTCATTCAGATGTTATTTTATTGATTTCCCGAAAGCCCCTGAAAAACCTCTACAAGGCTTTATTATATATTTATACACACATGCACATATGTTAAATGTATGTATATATATAAAAATAGACACATAACTCCATATTACTATGTAATAGCAAACACTATATAACACTGTATGTCAGCTACTGCTCTAAGCACTTTACATAGTAATTCACTTAATTTTCACAAGTCTTTGAGGTATGTACTATTAATATCACCATTTCCTTTTTCTTTTTTTTTTTTGAGACGTAGTCTCACTCTGTTGCCCAGGCTGGCATGCAGTGGCATGATCTCGGCTCAGTGCAACCTCTACCTCCCAGGTTCAAGCAGTTCTCCTGCCTCAGCCTCCTGAGTAGCTGAGATTACAGATATGCACCACCACACCCAGCTAATATCACCATTTTTAAAGAAGCAAACTGAGGCCGGGCACAGTGGCTCACGCCTGTAATCCCAGCACTTTGGGAGGCCAAGGCGGGTGGATCACGAGGTCAAGAGATCGAGACCATCCTGGTCAACTTGGTGAAACCCTGTCTCTACTAAAAATACAAAAATTAGCTGGGCATGATAGTACATGCCCGTAGTCCCAGCTACTCAGGAGGCTGAGGCAGGAGAATTGCCTGAATCCAGGAGGCGGAGGTTGCGGTGAGCCGAGATCGCGCCATTGCACTCCAGCCTGGGTAACAAGAGCGAAACTCCGTCTCAAAAAAAAAAAGCAAACTGAGGCATAGAAAGCTGAAGTAACTTGCCCAGGTGTGTGTGTGTCTCCAGTCAACATGTCCAACTAGCTGTCCCACACACCCCTCAAATTCACCATGTCTAAAACTTAAAACCATGCCTCCAAGACATGTTTCTGTCCCTGTGATTACCATCTCAGTCCTGGTACCACTGTCCACTCTGTTCCCAACCACAAACTTGGGCCAGCCCTTGACATCTCTTTCCCCCAACGTCCATTCCATCATCACGTCTTAGTTCCACCTCCTAAATGACCCCTGGATCAACTGTTGTTCTCCACCCATGCTGCTACTACTGTGATCCAAACCTTTAACCTCTCCTGCCCATATCTCTCTCACAGCCTCCTAATGGGTCACCCAATCTTTACTCCATGCCATTCTCTGCATCCCGAGAGCTCTTTCTTTTTTTTGAGAGGGAGTCTCACTTTGTCAGCCAGGCTGGAGTGCAGTGGTATGATCTCGGCTCACTGCAACCACCACCTCCCAGGTTCAAGTAATTCTGCCTTAGCCTCCCAAGCAGCTGGGATTACAGGCACGTACAACCATGTGTGGCTAATTTTTGTATTTTTAGTAGAGACAGGGTTTCACCACATTGGCCAGGCTGGTCTCAAGCTCCTGATCTCAGGTGATCTGCCCACCTCAGCCTCCCAAACTGCTGGGATTATAGGCGTGAGCCACCTTGCCTAGCCCTGAGAGCTGTTTCTATGCAGCAGATTCTTGCCTAAGATTTTGCTGGGGCTCCTTGGTGCCCTCAGGATCAAGTTGGTGCTCCCCTGTGGCATCTGAGGCCCTAAGAGGCCTGGCCCCTATCTGCCTCTCCAACCTGGGCTCCTGCCTCTCAGTCCTCCCAGGCCCTCCTGTCTGGCCAGGCTTAGCATTGGCACTTCCCTGAATGGCTGCAGACATTCCACTATGCCTGGCTGATTCCTACTTCACTGACAGCTCTGTCAGGTCATCACCACATTTATGATCTTTCCCAGACCCCATAGGCCGAATCAGATGTCTCCTGAAGAATTATAGCTTCTCACTCAAGACTTGGAGGTGAGGGAACCTCTCTGGAAAAGGGAAGATATTGGGAGTGTTTGTTGAATGAATGGAGTTCTTCAGTAAGGATCCCTAGGCAGTTACTGTATGACTAGCTTGGTGCTAGGTGCTGTGCAAGCTGAGCATGGGTAGGGATGGGGAGGAGTCGTGGGGAGGCTCGGACCAGAACTAAGGATACGGACTCACCTTCCACTTGCTCTTAGCAAAGTTCTTCTTGATCTGCTCACTCACCGACTGGTGGATATTCTTATCTAGAGCCGTATCGCCTGCAATCCTAGAATGAGGTTATGTGATGGGTTGCCTATGAGGGCAGAGGCAGACCTAGGGGCCCCAGATCCCACCCAGCTCACAGCTTGTGTGAATTCTCACCATGGGTGCTGCAAGGCCTGCTCACAAGTGAATCTTTTCTCTGGGTCCTTCTCCATCAAGTGCCGGATGAAATCTTTGGCTAAACCCCCAAGACAAAAGCAGAGAGTGACAGCATGGTAGTGCCTGTGGACTCCCACCAAGATCATACCCACTCCCTCAGGTCTGGCCTGGCATCAAAACAAGACAAAGAGGCCAGATCAGTCCGTGCCCTACCCCACCCTACCTGTGCTCTTCTTCAAATCCTCCCGCCCCACCCCAAGCCTTCCAGCTCTTTCCTTTATCTCTTAAGAAAAATTTGTTCTTGGCCAGGCACAGTAGAGAGGCCAAGGCAGGTGGATCTCCTGAGATCAGGAGTTTGAGACCAGCCTGACCAATATGGTAAAACTCCATCTCTACTAAAAATACAAAAATTAGCCAGGCATGGTGGCGTGCAGCTGTAGTCCCAGCTACTCGGGAGACAGGCGGAGAACTGCTTGAACCCAGGAGGTGGAGGTTGCAGTGAGTCAAGATCGTGTCGCTGTACTCCAGCCTGGGAGACAGAGCAACACTTTGTCTCAAAAAAAAAAAAAAAAGAAATAGAAAAACTTGTTCTTGAGTAATCTCAGTGTATTTATACCCATGCATAAACAATTGATAGTAGCTTCACCGGTTTGCTTCTCAATAGGGGGCACAAAAGGAGGGATGATAATGTTTATGGTGGTGTTTTAGGCATTAGAAGTCAGTAGGAAAAGTTTCAAATAGACTATGTTTGAAGATTGAACGATGAATGCCTAAAGTTTCTCACTCTAGGAGCCAAGCAGAGGGAAGCGCCCGGGGTGGGGTGTCTGGTTTCAAAGACAGCTCTTAGTGTAGCGCTGGAGAATCGGACAGAAGGAAGGCAGGAGGGAGACCGCCCCCAAAGCAGGTGAGGGAAGGACCAGAGGCAGGGCCCAGGGGAAAAGGGAAAAGCCCCAAATACCAGAGTCAGAGATGTCGTCCCAGTAAGGAGAGTCAAACTCGTACTCGGCCTTCAAAATCTGTTCAAAGAGTTTGGCATCATTCTCGTCATAGAACGGGGGGTAACCGCAGAGCCTGGGCAGGGAGAAACTCATCCTCATTTCCACTTTCAGATGCACCCATTGGCTCTGGGGTGGAGCGCTGGGGCAGTCCCAGGGGTCAGGCAGAACCCACAGGAAGGAGTTCCCTATGGAAACTCTACACAGCCCTACTTGCCTGCTCACTCGCCTTCTAGCTACATTGTCCTTTCTGTTTCTTGAATGTGTTGCCATCTTGCCCTCCTCAGGGCCTTTGCACTTGCCGTCGCCTCTGCCTACGCCACTCTTTCCCCACACCTTGAATGTCTGGCTCCCTCACCACTCAGACATCACCTCCACAGCAAGCCTGTCCCTGACCTCCCTACTGAAATGGCATCACCCCCATCTCCCTATCCCTGCTTGGTTTCTCTCCACAGCATTTATTCATTCATTCATTCATTCATTCATTCATTCATTCATACGTCACTACACAGCATTTATTTTTATCTCCTGAAATTATTTTGTAGATTTATTTACTTGTTGATTGGCTGTCTTCCCTACTAGAAAGAAAGCTCCCTGAGGGCAGGCACTTTGTCTGGTTTGTTCTCTGCTAAATCCCAGTGCTTGGCACAGTGGCCAAAACATAGTATCTACTGAATGAATTAATATTAGTAATTGATTGGTAGAAGGAAGAAAGAAAGGGAAAGAAGGGGAGGGAGGGAGGAAGGAAGGAATAGCAAAGGGAGGAAGAGAGGAAAGCAGGCGCGAGAGGACAACTCCGGAGCCACAGCCTACCATGGCTAAGCCCCACTTACAGGATGTAGGCAATGACACCTATGGACCAGCAATCCACAGCCTTGCTGTAGGGCTTCTGGGCCAGGACCTCAGGGGCTATGGAGGGAAGAGGACATGGTGGTGACAAATCTCTGCCATTCAGCTCCTGGTTCCCCCCACCACCACAGCCCCAGCCCAGGGCCCTCCGCACCCACGTATCCCGGAGTTCCACAGGCGGTGGAGAGCACACTGCCCGGGTCCTCCATCTTGGAGAGGCCAAAGTCGGAGATCATGATTTTGGAGTCTTCATCCAGGCTGTAGTACAGCAGATTCTCTGGCTTGGAGGGCAGGAGGGAAGGGAAGGGGCAATCAGAGATGGTTAGAGGCCAGTAGAACTTTCTGCCTCTTCAAGCACCTACTGAGAAATAATGGATCACCCAAAAGCCACTGTGGCTTCATGGCTGCCATAAGAAAATCAAGGAAGTTCTCAAGAAGCCCAAAAATTCCAGGAAGGACAAGGGCCAAGAGAGTGTGAGAGAGAACTTTCTATAAACCTCAGGTGTGCACTGTAAAGCCCTAAAGAAATTTTTGAGTGCCTACTGTATGCCAGACCCTGGATTAGTGCTTGATTTCATGTCATCCTCACCACATCTCTGCCAAGCCAGTCTGAATAATCCCGTTTTACAGATGAAGAAACTGATGCCTTCAGAGGCAAAGTGACTTGCCCAAGAACCCATACTTAGGGAGTAGAAGGGCCAGAATTCAAGCCCCAGTGCCCTTGTAGACTGGATTGAGATGGACTGCTAAATGTGAGCCCCATCGCTATTTCTGAGGAGTAGGATTTCAGGGATTTCTGGCCTTTTTTTTTTTCTTTTTGAAACCGAATCTTGCTCTTTCGCCCAGGCTGGAGTGCAGTGGTGCAATCTTGGCTCACTGCAACCTCTGCCTCCTGGGTTCAAGTGATTCTCCTGCCTCAGCCTCATGATCCACCTGCCTCAGCCTCATGATCCACCTGCCTTGGCCTCCCGAAGTGCTGGAATTACAGGCATGAGCCACCGTGCCCAGCCTCTGGCATTTTTCTTTATGCTTTGCTGTTCCATCAACGTTTTCTACAAAAAGGGAATAAGATTTTTTTTTAGATGAAGTCTCATTCTGTTACCCAGGCTGGAGTGCAATGGTGCAATCTTCGCTTACTGCAACCTCCGCCTCCCAGGTTCAAGTGATTCTCCTGCTTCAGCCTCCCAAGTAGCTTGGATTACAGGCACCTGCCACCACACGTGGCCAATTTTTGTATTTTTGGTAGAGTCGGGGGCAGGGGAGGGGGGGTTTCACCATGTTGGCCAGGCTGGGCTCTAACTCCTCACCTTAAGTGATCCACCCATCTTGCCTCCCGAAGTGCTGGGATTACAGGTGTAAGCCACCATGCCTGGTGAGTCTTTTTTTTTTTAATCAGAAGAAGACATAACATTTTATTTGGATAAAATACTAGCACAATTCACTTTTGTGTTCCTTTGAGTATCTGGACTAGAATGGGAGGAGGCAGATTAAGGGTTACAAGATCCACCTTGTAGATGGAAATCCAAGGCTCAGTGAGGGGGTGAAAGTTGTCCAAGGTCAGACAGTTTGGGGTTTGCAAAGGCTCCACCTCTGGGTACCCCAGCCCACCACACCCCATCAAGCCTCACCTTGAGATCCCGGTGTACAATGCCCAGGTCATGCAGGTACTTCACAGCATCCAGCACCTGGAAGATGAGGCGGCTGGCGTCCCGCTCTGTGTAGAAGCCTTTTTCCACAATACGATCAAACAGCTCCCCACCTGACACCCTGCAACAGGGGATAGGGCAGTCTGGCCAAGAGGGTTGAGACAGCAGGGAGAGGTGTGTTGGGGGTGGGGGGCAGGCAGAGGTGGGGCCACTCACAGCTGCATGATGAGGTAAAGGTGGCCCCCACTCTCATAGATGTCATCCAGGGCTACAATGTTGGGGTGCTTGATCCTGAAAGGAGAAATGAGGTGGCTTAGCTAGGCATAGTGGTGTGCACCTGTAGTCCAAGCTACTTGGGAACTTGGGAGGCTGAGGCAGGAGGATCGCTTGCTCCCAGCAGTTCGATGCTGCAATCTGTTATGATTGCACCTGTGAATAGCCACTGTACTCCATACTCCAGCCTGGACAACAGAGTGACACCCTTAAAAAAAATGGGTTGGGCATCGTAGCTAATGCCTGTAATCTCAGCACTTTGGAAGGCGAGGAGGGCAGATCACAAGGTCAGGAGTTTGAGACCAGCCTGACCAACATGACGAAACCCTGTCTCTACTAAAAATACAAAAATGAGCTGGGTGTGGTGGCATGCACCTGTAATCCCAGCTACTCAGGAGGCTGAGGCAGGAGAATGGCTTGAACTCCTGAGGTGGAGGTTGCAGTGAGCTGAGATGGTGCCATTGCACTCCAGCCTGGGTGACAGAGTGGGACTCTTTCTCAAAAAAAAAAAAAAGTGGTTTAGAGTTCAGGACAGCTTGCACCGCACCCCTCCCAACACACACACACACACACACACACTGCCTGCAAACCTGTGGAGGACAAACCAGGGATCTAGGCCCCAAAAGGAAAAGCTGGCTTACCAGGCTTGATTATCATTGCTTGGAAGGTGAGAGAGCAGAGGGATAGACACTGGGCTCTGACACACACAGACCTGGGTCCAAATCCTGCCTCTGTCACATTTTGCTATTTGGGTGCAGGACTTTGCACTTCATGACAATGATCAATAATATGACCTTTTTTTTTTTTCAGCAGATGGAGTCTCCTGTGTTATCTAGGCTGGAGTGCAGTGGCTCTGCAACCTCGAACTGCTGGGCTCAAGTGATCTCTTCTGTCAAGTAGCTGATACCAGCAGGCTCACCACTGTGCTCAGATGATACATGACTTTTTTTTTTTTTTTTTGAGACAGGGTCTCACTCTGTCAACTAGGCTGGAGTGCAGTGGCACAATCACAGCTCACTAAAACCTTTACCTCCTGGGCTCAGGTGATGCTCCCACCTCAGCCCCCTGAGTAGCTGGGTCTACAGGCACGTACAACCATGCCTAGCTAATTTTTGTATTTTTTGGTAGAGACAGGGTTTCATCATGTTGCCCAGGTCAGTGTCGAATTCCTGGGCTCAAACAATCCTCCTGCCTTGACCTCCCAAAGTGCTGGGATTACAGGTGTGAGCCACTGCACCCAGCCTGATATATGCCTCTTAAGAGTTTTCTGGCCAGGCGGTGGCTCACACCTGTAATCATAGCACTTTGGGAAGCCAAGGCAGGAGGATCACTTGAGGTCAGGAGCTCCAGACCAGCCTGGCCAACATGATGAAACCCTGTCTCTACTAAAAATACAGAAAAATTAGTTGGGCGTAGTGATGGGCACCTGTAATCCCAGCTACTCAGGAGACTGAGGCAGGAGAGGTGCCTGAACCCGGGAGGTGGAGGTTGCAGTGAGCCCAGATCACGCCACTAAACTCCAACCTAGGTGACAGAGTGAGATTCTGTCTCAAAAAAAAGGGGGCTTGAGGTTCTGTGTTTACACATTTATCAGCCTCCCCCACCAGACATAAGCTCCCTGAATCCAGAGGCTTTGTCTTGATGGCCAGTGTTCCTCTAGCACCTGGTACAGGGTAGGTGCTAGATTTAATGTAACCTCTCTGAGCCTCAGTTTCTTTACCTATAAAATAAAGCCAATGATAGTACTTCCCTCAAAATGTTGGGGTGAGGATCATGTGAGATAATGCAGGTAAGGTGCTTGGCAGTGCCTGGCACAGAGTAAATATTCATAAGTGAATAAATAATGGTAATTGATCTTTTTTTTTTTTTTTTCTGGAGATGGAGTTTTGCTCTTGTTGCCCAGGCTAGAGTGCAATGAATGGTGCAATCTTGGCTCACTGCAACCTCTTCTGCCTTCTGGATTCAAATGATTCTCCTGCCTCAGCCTCATGAGTAGTTGGGATTACAGGCATGTGCCACCATGCCTGGCATTTTGTATTTTTAGTGGAGATGGGGTTTCTCCAAGCTGGTCAGGCAGTAATTGATCTTGATGATGAGGAAGGCTCAGCTGTGCCACAGATTTGTCATGTGACTGTGTACAAGTCCCTTGTCCTCTCTGGGTCTCATTAGAAATGCTCTGTCCAGGGACTGGGAGTGGTGGCTCATGCCTGTAATCCCAGCACTTTGGGAGGCCAAGGTGGGTGAATTACCTGAAGTCAGGAGTTCGAGACCAGCCTGGCCAACAGCGAAACCCCACCTCTACTAAAAATATGAAAATTAGCCAGGCATGGTGGCAGGTGCCTGTATTCCAGCTACTATTGAGGCCGAGGCAGGAGAATTGCTTGAACCTTAGAGGCAGAGGTTGCAGTAAACCAAGATTGTGCCACTGCGCTCCAGCCAGGGCGACAGAGTGAGACTCCAACTCAAAAAAAAGGTCTGCCCAGGGTGGTTGGAAGTTCAGGGGAGAGATGGGAAATGATTCTCTGTAAGTTTTCCAGTGAGGACAGGAGGTTTCATATCAGTATGAGCAATTCATAGACCAGTTTGCTGTGGATTTAGTCAGGGGGTCAGCAGACAGGCATTTTTAAACTTGCTGAGTGGCTTTAATATGTGAGGGGAACTTGAGTAGGTCCAGAGACAAAACCAACTGAGATATGTGGGTTCAACCCATGTTCAGGATGGATCTTTACACCTGATTGTACAGTTAAACCCCGGTTACTAAGCACTGGCATCTCCATCACATCTGTCATGTTAGCTGTGTGCCAGGTCCTTGAAATAAAGGACCTCTGATATTCCCGACAACCCTGCCAAGTGGAAATTGTGATCCCCATTTTATAAATGAGCAATTTGAGGCTTAGAGAGTTTAAATGACTTTTTCAAAGCAGGGAAGGAGGAGGATGGGAGGGCCAAGGCAGGGTCAACTTGGGGCAGGGAAAGGCTGTGGCCCACGCACTTGTGCAGGACAGCAATCTCATTCTCCATGCTGCCTTCCTTGCCCTCCAGGGCCTTCTTGGCGATGCATTTGATGGCCACCAGCTTCTGCGTCCTCTTATCTTCTGCCAGGATCACCTCCGAGAAGGCCCCCCTATAGGGAGAGGGGATTCACAAGGTGAAGAACTGGAACCCCAGCTTCCCTCCAGCCTCTCCTCCATCCCCTATGGGTTCTGTAACCACTGCTGGATCAAGGATGTGGATGATCCTCCCCAGTCACTCAACCATCCCCTGGTTCCAGAGGTCATCACATAACCCAGGCCTGGTCAGTCAAAGTAGTCTCTCCCCTAACCACAGTAATCGGTCACGTGATGCAAGCCAGGTTACTTGGCACTTTGAGAATGGGGCTCCTGCTGAGCTGGTACCATGTAAGCCTGGAGCTAATGGTGATCATCTTTTCCATCACTTGGGGAGAGCCTGCTTGGGAATGAAATCAACACAGAGGAAGTCCAACCTGAGAAATGGTCAGAGACATTTCCTGATAACATTATGTGGGCCCCTGGATCCAGCCATGCCTGAAGTCTACCCCTGAGCTTTTTGATTATGTGTGCAGTTGATTCATCCCTTTTTCTGCTAATTTGAGTCATGGCTAATTTAACACTCAGAACCTTAAAATACCCTCAGCATCACCTGGGAACTTTTTTAGAAATGCAAAATCTCTATGGCTTTGGATCCTGTGTCAAAAAAAAAAAAAAAGAAAAGAAAAGAAATGCAAAACCTTAGGCCTTGTCCCAGATTTATTAAATCAGAATCCACAATTTAACAAAATCCTCAGGTGATTTGTATGCTCATTGAACTTTAAGAAGCAGTACTGGCTGGACACGGTGGCTTACACCTGTAATCCCAGCATTTTGGGAGGCTGAGGCAGGTGGATCACGAGGTCAGAAGTTCAAGCCCAGTCTGGTCAATATGGTGAAACCCTGTCTCTACTAAAAATACAAAAAGTAGCCAGGTGCAGTGGAGAATTGCTTGAACCCAGGAGGCAGAGGTTGCAATGAGCGGAGATCGTACCACTGCACTCTAGCCTGGGAGACAGAGCAAGACTCTGTCTCCAAAAAGAAAAAAAAAAGCAGTGCTTTAGAACAAGCTCTTAAAAAGGAACAAATAAACTCATTTAACTAGAGTTAACTGATTAAGGTGGATTTTCTAGGGTATTCTTTCCACATCTGTTTGTTTCTCTGGGAGAATAAGAAGTCAAGTCAAAGAAAAGCATCTCTCATGGTGAAATTTCAATCCTTAGGGGTAGTTACTGTAGTAAACTAATCACTGGTTTCCAGTCCTGTCCTTCTCCAGTTTACCCTCCAAGCTGTGACCAGAGTGACTATCCTGAATTGCACGCCTGCCAAAAAGTCTTAAATGTCTCCCTGTGGCCTATGGGACAATATCCAGCCTCCCTGGCCTGGCTTCCAAGATGCTACACAAACTGTCTCACTTTCATCTCCAGCCTCTTATTCCACTCTCCCCCCAGCCTCTGATGTTATTTTATTATTTATTTACTTACTTATTTACTTATTTTGAGATAGAGTCTTGCTCTGTTGCCCAGGCTGGAGTGCCGTGGCCCGATCTTGGCTCATTGCAACCTCCACCTCCCAGGTCCAAGTGATTCTCCTGTCTCAGCCTCCCAAGTAGTTGGGACTACAGGCACACATCACCATTTGTATGCGTGCCTATAGTCCCAAAATACACACATTTGTATTCTTAGTAGAGACGGGGTTTCAACGTATTAGCCAGGATGGTCTCCATCTCCTGACCTCGTGATCCGCCCACCTCAACCTCCCAAAGTGCTGGGATTACAGGTGTGAGCCATCGCACCTGGTGAGCCTCTGATTTTAAGCTCCACCACTCTCTGCCTCTTTTCACATGAAGCATGCCTCTATAGGCCTTTGTTTATGCTATTCCTTCTGGCTGTAATGCCCTTCTTCTTCTCTGACAAGTGCACACCTACCCATCCTTCATTCCCCAGTTCCAGTGCCCCATTCTCCAGGAAGTTTTCCCTCAGACAGAAGGCACAGCTCTCTCTCAGCTCCACAAAGCCCTCAATCCCAACCTCAATTGGAGCACAGTGCACACCCTGTAGTCATTTTTCTGTGGGTCTGTCTCCTGCACATGTCTGGGATCAACTTGAAGGGCAGAGACCAGGTTTGAGTTATTTCTGCATTCCCAGCACCAAGAACAGAGCCATCCCCAGCCTCAGTTCCCATACCTAGGCCAGAACACCCAGCTCTTGGCAGCAAGTTAGATGGACTGACTGACACCTCCATTCTCCCAACTTCTTTTTCTTCAAGGACCCAGGGATATTGGAAGAGCAACCCATGTCCCACCCATTGTCATCCAGAAGTGAAAAGCTGGGGACAGTTTAGACCCTAGGCAGTGCTGCCACAGAGCCTAGGCTGTGGGAAACAGGAAGCATTAATTGACCAGAGGAAGCACCACCCTAGACTCAGCCTCCCCTAGCCATCCAGCACCCGATCCTGCCCTGCCCTGTACTCACGTGCCCAGAACATCTCTGAAGTCATAAATGTCCCTAATGTCCTCTGCCTGCTTCCACCTGGGGCCTTCCACTGCCCCCGGCATGGCCCACTGCCCCCCGACCACAGCCAGGGCTCCTGCAAGAGAATGGAAGGAGGAGATTCAGTGGAGCCCAGTCTTCTGTCTGGAAATTTGCTGCAGGCTCCATTCAGTCATTCAACCTGCATTTATCCATCCTAGATCCATCCACTTGACAAAATCATTCAACAAACATTCATTTGTTTATTCAACATTCGGCAAATTCTCATACCTAGAGAAAAACCTTTCACGGTGGCAGCAAAATTCTTTATTTAACATAGTCAGCATTCATTCATTCATTTATTCTAGTTCACTTCCCAGTTTTCCCCCTCTCCAAATCCAAGCACCCAGGGATACCCTGACCTCTGCCAGTACAACAGATAAACCCCCAGAGCAGCTAGTAGAAGCCTGGAGGATCTCCTTGTCCCTAGAACTAGTGATGTCTCTGCCCCACCCTGGAGATTGCTGGGGTGTCTCCTTGCCCTCCTCCTCCCCACCTCCAGCCCCTGACCTCTTGGAAATCAGGTTTCCAGCAGCCTGGACTTCCAGCAATATCTCAGCCACATTTTAAAATAGCTCTTTCTGCACTGTTACCACAGCAACAACAGCCACAGCTGGAGCTCCCCAGACCTCTCCCTCCTGACTCCCCATCTGGGTCCCGGGAGCCTGAGAAATGGTCCTACCCACTCTGTCCCTTACTGGCCCCATCTCATCCTATCTAGCCTGGCCCTTCCCCTGCTGAGATCTGTCTTATCCAGCAGGAGAGGGTGGGAGTTCTCTCCCATTTATCAGATGAAGAATGGGGAGACTGAGGTTGGAGTTGGGTAGAGGCTGGGTCCAGAGGCCCAAATGACACCTGGCCTAGGGCCCCCAGCTAAGCTTGCTGAGGGTAAAGGCCATGGAATGCCCTAGGCTGATCCTTCCAATATGAAGCCAGAATGGGCCCCATTCAGCGAACACAGCCTCTCAATACATCCACAGAGGATGAGGCCAAAACAGAGCCCAGCATGCTTTGTGACCTCAGGGAGAGCACTTTCCTTCTCTCTTTTCCTCTAAGGGAGAATGAGGAGCTGGTGTCCTGACTAGAGCCTCTGGTGTGAGATTCAACTCCTGGAACAGGACCTTGTTCCTAGGGGACCCTGGCCACTCATCCCAGGGGCAGAAACTTCTAGGAAAGGAGACTTGAGCGTAAGATGTAGAGACAGACCTGGACGCCTAGCAAAATGCAACCCTCACAGATCCACAAACATCTCTGTAGCAGACACCCATACCAAGTCCCCTCCAACAGCCCTAAACTCAAACACCTGCCTCCTAGATCCAGTACACCTTGTATCCAGATCCCATGACCACACATACACTCCCAGACATCAGCACACGTGTCTACACCACACACTGCTCCAGATAGCCTTACACTCGAACATCTGCCTGTCTATCCAGACATCCCTCACCCAGCTCCCTCTTCCCAAAAGACACATCCACCCACACCAGCACAAGATGACACCCAGACACACACACACACCCTCATATACCAGACATGCCCTACACCCTCCAGCTCCTCTACCCCATCCCCTGGAAGCTCCAATATTCCAAACCAAACCCCAACTCCATAAACACCTAACTCCAAATATCCTCAGTACACAATTCTACACCCCCTCCTAACTCTGACTTGAGACCCTTAGAGCCAAATACCAGCACACACAACACGTGGATACTGCTCTAATTTAAAAAAACACGCGCATTCCCAGATCCCCCACCCACGTCTGACCCACACGACTGTCCTAAGACATTAGCACACTCCACAAGCCCCCCACCCCCATCCCATGGATACCTCCAAATGCCCACGCCCTTCCACTGTCAGGCCAGCTGAAGGCGCTCACTCAGGCCCCCTCCTCTATTACCCACTCAGTGTCCCATGGGCCCACCTGGCACTTGCTGGGCCTGGGGCAGAGGGAGGAGAAAAAGGCCCAGCCCTGCCCCTCAGGGTCTAGACCGCCCGGGAGAGTGCCCAGTGGCCACTCCTTGGGGAAGGCTACCTACCCAGAGACTGAGGGCTCCCGCCGCCCCTCCGCAGCGCCCAGGGGTGCAGGAGCGGGGGGCTAGGCTGTACCTGCAGCTGCCCCGCCGCGGGGCTGGCTGGGAGGCCCGCGGTGGCTGGCGCCGAGCTCCGGCCGCAGTCCGCGCCGCTGAGCGCCTGGGCCGCCCGCCCGTTCTCTCGCTGGGGCTGAGGCTTTGCTCCGCTCCGCCAGCTCGCTCCGCCGGCTCTCTCCGCCCGCCTGCGGCTCTGATGTCAGTGGAGGAGGAGTCTGCGGCGGAGGGACCCGGGATTGGGAGGCGAGGAGCCGCTCCAGGGCTGGGGAAGGGGCGCGGGTGGAAGCCACCTCCCTGCTTCTGGTCAGAGATCTCCTGCTAGACGCTTTCCGCCCTTGGTCTTCAGCAGCGATCCATTTCACAGCGGGGACAACTGAGGCCCA